CAAAAATACAACCACCACCACTATCGAATCTCCGGCCACCAGCTACCATCAACCACTACCACTAACAATCTACATCACACCACAACCACCAACCAACAAAAAACCCAAATCCGTCCGGCCACACCACATGGCCACCATCAACTGCACACAAGCAATAAAATTTCACAGTCAAACCACCACGCCGTCACCCCTGTGCCACCGCCTGCAGAATCACCACCTACCTTCACATCAACAACGCCCTACGACAGCCACAGATCCGTCTGAAAATGTCCCCAACACCACGATGCAACACGATTGTCACCACGACGCAACACAACCACGACGCAACACCACATATCCGTCTGAAAATGCGATAGCTACAGCATCGTCTGAAAATGTCCCCAGATCTGTCTAAATTTTTAAGCCACTACTCCACTTACAACGCGGCGTAGTACAGCAGCGATGAAGCCCCTACTCGACTCTCCGGCGACGGGAGCTCCTCAATGGCGACGGCGATCTAAAGAAAATGGAGAGGATAGATAGAGACGACGTAGAGAGAGACGAGAAGAGAAGGAGAGGTAGATGAAAATTGATTTAGGGTTTGGGATTAGGTAGGGTTGGAATAATATTTAATTTTTAAATCAATACCTGAATTTTGATTAAAAAATATTCTCGCCTGATTTTTGCACTCTAAAGTTGAAATACCTGGAATTATGTAATTTCCTCTTCTAAAAATTCGATTCAGGTAAATTTCATCATGGTCACTGAACTATCGGTGAAATTTTAAATGGCTCACCAAACTTCGATTTAGTTTTAATTTTTACCACCCTCACATTGCGTCACATGTCGTCCCTCAAACTAACGATTTAGGGGACTGAACCAAGGTAGTAAAAATGTAGAAGAGGGGTGGGTGGGTTGCCACATCACATGTCCTCAGGGGCGGACGCAGAACTTTAATGTTGGGGGGCACAATCAAACTTGCAAAGAACTTGGGAGAAATTTTACAATAAAAAATTTACGTCCAAAAAAATCATACTCCACTTAATTTTACATTCAAAAATTGAAATGGGATATGAATTTTTCGAATGTAAAATTTCGAAATTTTTTGAAAACTAATAAAATGATGAAAATTATATTGAGAAATTTGTATCGCAAAAATAATAAATGTTAATGAAATAATTGATTTTTTTTTTTTAATGCGAGTTAGACGTCTTTTTAAAGGTTCACGTTTAACGTATTTTTAACTATTTTCGATATATGCTTGAACTATTCGATATGTCCATAATGTAATTCTTGAAATAAGCTTAGAAATTATTCAAACAATTTGTAGATTCGATTAGCATACGATCGTCGAAGAATTTTTAAAATTAGTATATTTCGAAATTCAAATTTATTTTGATTTTACCCTTGTTTGGTGGAGATTAAAATCAATTTTTTAGTAAATTTTGGTAAAAATTAAACAGTTATGGATTTCATAAAATATGTTATTAAAATTAATTGTTAACTTTGATTTAAATTAAAATTTCAATTTCAATTGATACCAAACGTGATTTAAAAAAAAAAAATAGAATCTCAAAAGTTGGGGGGCACCTGCCCCCCAGGTCCCCCTAGGTCCGCCCATGCATGTCCTTCAAACAGGAGGTCAGGGAGACAGAACAAGGATAGTGAGATCGAAGATGGGGGTGGACTGGTTGCCAAATGACAATAAGACAAGGCAATTCACGAGTCTCTTGAAAATTTCTGAACGTGGAACAATGCAAGAATTGAAATATCCACATTTACCATTCAATCTAATTGCTTATTGTCTTTTTAATTTAATTTAATTTTTTAAATGCAGTTTAAATTTAAAAACCTAAATAAAATATAAAATTCAGATGGCCCCATTCCCTTTCTACGACAAAGTCGGGGGACCCTCGAGTCATTTTGCCTTCCATATCTAGGATGGGGAAAAGAGGAAGCTGAATTGGAGAGGTAAAGTGTCATGTCGAGGCAGAGGATTTTTTTTCTACTCGGATATTCAAGTTTCGTCTGACTAACATAAAGGACTAACGACCTTCTCCCCGATTCACCACTCAAATAAATCGAATACGATCACAGCTTATGCACACTTGGATCGAACATTCGTAAGACAGTTGACATCTGCCTTTCAACTGTAGCGAGGACCTCCGATATTCTGTAAAAAAACCCACCTACTTTATCACTGCGTCATGCTGATAGGGGCAAAGCTGAGTTATTTTATCGTACCTTATGGGTCAATAAGAGTAAGCTAGATCAACAAGGGATGTCAAGAGTGTATGCATTAAAAAAAGTCCTCAATCTTTACTCGTTTTCATACTTATGTTCTCAACTTTTTTCTTCTATTCTTGTTGTTAACCTTCACATAATTATCACATTCCATCCCCTAATTAATATAAGAATGTACTAAAATTGAAGATTAATGATAAGAATACAACGATAAAAAGTTAAACACTAGTACAAAAATGAGCTAAGATTGAGAACTTTTATTGCAATTAAAATGTGTGTAATTAGTAAAAACTGTGGTGTGAATATAGTAGTAGCTGGTAAAAACTGTTAATGAATCCCAAGCACAAGCCAAGACAAACGTGATGCATCACCAACGAAGGCTAGGACAAAAACAAAGAGCAATTCAACAAACAAATCAGTAATTTTATACAATCAATGCTATCAGGCGCAGCACAAGATCCAACGTACAGACCGGCTACATCCAGTTACATGGCCAAATACAACCATGAACTAACGAACACCAACACGCACCTTGCCCACATACAATAAATTAAAGCGAGATATGGTAAAACAACACGACGACGCATTTTTTCAGCTGCAAAGAAACTAGGTGAAGGAGTGGCAGTTTACAACATTGCCAATATATAAATTAACAAGGGAAGCATTTGCTCCAGAGTATATTCACGACTACAAAACTAAGAAGGAAAAAAAAAAATTAAAAATACAAATAAAGGCAGCAAAGATGACTGAATTTCCTCTGCAAATGTGCAAAAAGTACTGATTATGTCGACTGGAAGGTTGCTTTTTATTGCTCGACTTGCAGCGCAGATGAAATCCATTCTGAAGCAGCTATTTTAGTCTCAGTCTCTACTTGCATGGATAAAGAGATTGGGGTAACTGCAACCTGTTCCAAAGAGCCAGTACACCCATCTAAATCCAAAACAGCATCATTTCATTTCATGCACATATACATACACGTACATATTTGTGCACTACAAGGAAGCACCGTCAAAATAAACAAGAGAGACAGAATAAGAACAAAACTTACAAAATAATTTTCAAGGGCTTTAAAATCAAGATCTTCGTCTTCTTCTTCCTGCTCTTTGTCAAGCATCTGCAATCATTAGATATTAAACAAATCATTCCTTGAAACAAAAAACAGAATCATTTCACTACCAAGAAAAGAATAAAAATTATGAAGGAATTAGTCAATATCAAGGAGATAGCAAGCAGCATTGGCCACAATCATAAGAGATCAAAGATATTTATGATACATAATTTCCCAAGTGTACGTTCATGTGGAAGATCCAGGTCCAGTAAAAAAGTGTGTCAACAACTCAACATACAAGGAATGAATCCATACTTAATCGAAGATATGATAATTCTTCCTTAAAAACCTTGATATTCTTAATGGTAGCATGTCTATTTAAATGAGGATTTCTTGAACATTGAATTTTATTTCAATCGAAAGAAGATAAATATAAAAATTTCTCTCGTGTTCTGATCGTTCTTGGCCTCCTAAAAATAATCAACACCAGAAACCACAGCTCTAAAGCACCCTATAAAAATGAAAATAAAAACAAAACTAACTAGACATCAAGAAGATTCACATTGCTCCCACCTGCAACTTAATGAATGTTACCTCTAGTCGGAAATACTTCACAGTTCGTTTAAAATCCAACTTCCCTGCAGCACCAACTGATTCAACTATCTCAATATTCTTTTTTTGTGTTGCCAAACGGCGAGCAGCACCCTGAAAATTTTCCAATGATAAGGTCTGACCATCTGAATGCTACAAGATATTACATGCAGCAACACCTTTAATGTGAAATGAATAATAAATTAAATGTAAAACAAAAATTTTACAGCAGCAGAGGCATCACGTCCAAGCTGGGCAAGCTGCATAGCATTGTTTTGCTGACTGGCAAACCGTGAAGCAGCCTGATGTCTGGTGGCTGAAATGGCTTGCCAGGTAAGAGTGGACCTCCAAAGACTTTGCCTGGTAACCTTGAATCCCTACGAAACAAAAAAATGTACATAGAAAATACTGCATCAGTATCTGAAACAAAATGTCAAACATACCTGTCTTGGATCCAAAACTGAAAACACACATTCAGTATCAACGGACAAAGGATAAGACAAAATGTCATTGAGCCAATGCTAAAATACAAGTTGAATAAATGAAAAAATGAAACAACACTCGTGCAGATGGTTCAGCATTACCACAGCAAAAAATCAAGTCAAGCATTCCATATAGCCCTTGTTTGACCCCATTTTGAGAGAAAAAATGCATTTTCGAATAGTGATTTTTGGAGAATGTGTGGTTAAAAATTAAGAAATTTTTTCGATTTACCTGTAATATTATTTTATTGGAAAATGTGTAGTTGAAAATGAGTTTTGAGAAAAATGAATTTTCAAAAAAGTGGGACTCAAACAATCCCTAAGTGTAGATACTACGAAATTTGTTTCTCAAACCCAAGATGGAATCTTGTTTTAGCACCTTTCACTTGTCTGAAAGAAGAGCCAGGTAAATCTTATTTTCCTCGACACGAACAAAAGGATGAAAAAATGTGCATCAGTTGCAAAATCTGCATATGGAGCTTCAAGAATCAAATCTCGTAGTTCTGAACACAAGTACCCGAACTTCATAATGAATGAAGCATGATAATATATTTATAATTTTATCATGTAACTCTTTAGTTTACAAACCTCTAATGGCTAGCCCAGTCAATATTGATATTGTTAATGGAAATGTGGACTGACCTCTTTGGAGTTTTAAGTTAGTAATCAATACTGGGAAATAGTTGTTTTAAAAGGTTGTCAAAAGGCTAAACCTTGAGGCATGCCTTACGTGAGGCTACTATTTTTTTTTTCAATGGGTTTTGTATTTCGTATACACCTTGGGTGCCATTTATCAAGACTTACGCCTCAATTTAATAAGGTTTACATCTTGACTTACTGAGTCTTAAGCCACAAGGTTAGTCCTCGACTCCTCGTGGCAACTGAGATGCGCTTTCATTTGTCCTGCCTTTGTAGACTTCATATAACTGACCTCAAAATTTTAGGCCCTTATTTTATATCTTAGAAAGTATTACGAGTTTATTGCTTTCCTTTACACCTATGTTTCATGCAAACGGACGCAGGACACGAACATGACATGATAGAGACACTCCGACACGTAATTTTGAACAAAATGGACACGTTAATTTTAAATAATTTTAGATTTATATATTAAACTTTTCATTTCTTAATAAAATAAATACTTATTTAGATTTTATTTTTGTTTATGAAATCTTTTAATCGGGTGAGTAGCTATTTATTGTGTTAACGTTGAGTTGACAATGGATTACTAAATCCAAGGATGGGAAAATGCATATAAATCATGTCTCTGAGTGTCCGAGTACCATTGGTGACCAATATGACACAACACATATAGGAGTGTCCATGCATCATCATATCTTTATATGTAAAGTGAAGGCACCATTGCACGTGTAGGATGTCAGAAAAAATTACAAGAAACTGAAAATGATAAGGATTAGGAGAATTAAATATGTTTTAATGATTCTATTGGGGTGATGATATGGGAGTCCTAGACTATTTCTAATTTTGGTACTACATTAAAATTTTGCTTCGTGATTACTGATTGGAGAACTTATTCTTTTTGATAGGTTTGGAGAACTTATTCTTTGTTACTATTGATCTACTTTATGTTTGTTGCAAGCTAGACTTTTAATTTTATTAATTTGTATTATTATGGATCCTCAAGGTGGTTTATTATGAGAATGTTTTTGTACTTCTATATTCTTTTGAATTAGTTCATTGGTTTATCTGGAGGCTTATGCTCTCGGTACCTGATTGATCATTTGCAAACATTTGCACTGTATCGGACAGAAAGATTTCGAAAACATTTGGTAATTCATAGTAATATGTCATCATCACAGGCACGGTAAAATGTAAATTAATTAATATAAGTGCATTTGCTTTTGCACCATGCATCACCAGTTATCAGTATGTGAAAACTAATACGTGGACTACGACCAGGATCAGGTAAATGTAGTCTCAAGTAGGATAAAGTAGGTGCAATCATGTTGACTTATATTAACAGTAAAAATATTATTGAAATGTGGAGCAAAAATGAGATGTTTGGCTTACCAAGTAGAATACATCCTCAAATTCCTCTTCTACAAGATTATTTGAAATTTTTAATTACACAGCAGTATCCCAATTTTCAAATTTCCATGGGCAAATTAACTTAAAGAATATAAAGCAATCCATTTTCAATTTGCAGAAATAATTCTCTAAACTGTCACCCATTCCTATGAAGGGAGTTTTATTTCAATTATAGTCCCCGTGGTTTTACTTTGATCGTCCAATAATCCATCAAAAATTGGTGTGTGCCCAACAGCTACCATGCCTTTATCTCTATCCAAATTGCACCTACCAAAATGTTATCTCCATTATAGACACCTAACCTAAGACCTCAAATCAGAGAAGTATGTTGCTGCAACCACCAAAATAATCGCTAACTAACCTTCTCAGATATGCTATTTGGGCCTGGAATAGACTTCTCATTCTAGTAATTATTATCTTTGCAGCTGGCCTATTACCAATGATGAAACTTTACATCGTTCTAAATGATAATTACAGAGTGTAAAGGTGTTCTCTCATACATACGCACCCAAAGGGTCAACTCTAAGATGCCTAGTATAGATTCGTAGACATGATAACTGTAACATACTAGGCACATACAAATGCTAATTAATACATTATAATGCTAACAGTTAATAGATTTGGCCATTGAAGCAGTGTATTCAACCGAACATAAACCACAAATAGGCAGCAAAAACGAATGAAACTGACATAGCAATCATAACTAACTTTGGAGGGATAAATTTGCATTACATTGTTGGTGGAGCCTAATAATGTTTGGTTGAGAAGCAAATCACACTAGATCCAAAAATAATATATTGTTTGACATACGCTTTCCAATATCTCTTACGATGAAGAGTGAAGAGATTTGGCATATGTTTGACTAATGTAAATAAACTGTTTATAAATGGTTAGACCACTTTTTATCCACACGTTTCATGAGTCCCAAAAGGACTACAATTAATTCACCGCTCATTTCTATCTATTAAATTTAAATTGTTTATAGACATTTCCCAAACAAGCTTTTACTTTCATCATTTGAGACCTTATAATAGCCCTTACATGAGCAAGGAGGTATGAAAATTGTTAAGTATTAAATGAATAGTTAAATAATATCAGTATACAAATATGTGGGAGCATAATGTCGATAAAATTGCATACCAAGGGATGGCCAGTAATTAAGAATAATGTTTTTGCAAATTGCAGAAAGGAGCTATAGTACGTATAACTAATGATGCTAACGTTAAGGATATTTATCTCTATCCTCAACTTTCAAACTACCATCCAATTAGGGTCATACCATACAACTTGAAATAATGGTTAGGTTCCCTTTTACATAATTGACTTGCAGTTTTCTTCTGTGATCCTTTTAGTTATATGGATTTCAATTTGATATTGTATTTCCTTAGGTTTAATCCCCTTGTGGTTCACCCAAGACAGCCATAAGTCAGCAAATCATTTCCTTGAATGTCTCATCCCTAACTTGAATGAGCAATAATGGTTATCAATTTATCAGAACAACATACAGAACGAGAGTGGTGGAATATAGTGATGGAGTCACCAGCCAAATATAATGAATTTTTTTGATATAAGTGTATAGATTTAGGTGAAAAGAATTTTCAATAGGTAGAGTAAAGCATGAAAATGACTCAAAGAAGCAAAGATTTTTACTTCAACCATAGCCAAGAATCTAATGTGTGTGAGAACAAGTTCTACAGATAAATCAAATGGGAACTTGGAAATAATGCCTTTTTTGGTGGAGATTAAAATCATATTTATTTTTGCTGATTTTGATAAAAGTTAATGAAATGTGTGGTTGTCCCATGAAATATGTGTTTAAAATTAATTGTTGAATTTGACTTCGATATAAATATAAATTTAAATTTCTATCAAACAGGGGCAAAAGAAGGAAAATGGACAAACTAAATTCAGCAGGTTCTCTACTAGTCTCTTAATGTTTTATCTAGGTGTGTCTATGGGACCATTCTCATAACAATCTAAACATGCAACACAAATATGAGTGAAGATAATGATTCTCTACCAGTCATTAACTAGTTGGATCAGCAGCATAATAACTACTTATCGACTTGGCATAAAAATAGAACTTACAGATAGAATGCCTATATAAATCAATTCCAAACTAGGAAATTATGCAGGCATTATCAAATAGTAAATGATCAAAACTCAACCATTCCATGCATTATGAATTCCAGATGTTGCTCTTTAATTGTTCTTAACAAGGAACTTAAAAGTCTTCATCAACATATGACATGATGTCATTCAAAAGAGTCCAAGTAAGATATTAGAAACAAACCTTGTTTGTCAAAGGAGAGGTTGGAATTTCTACATTTAGTGAACAACTTTTGGGGAAAACACCCTTCTCCACGTCTCTTATCATCGCTTGTATCAACGGTAAGCAAACAGTCACAGCATCCTTGAAGTCACTTTCCTTACTTCCATCTTTCTTCCTATCATAGAGTATTTAGACATCCTATTATATACTGCCAAAATTACTCTATAAAGATGCAACATACTCTTCTAAAGGATCACCAACGTACCAGTTTAATGATATTGATATAGATGGCACACCATTAACCAATGCTTCTCTAGCCCCAGCAACAACTCCCGAATAAAACCTGATAGTGTCACGTCAATAATATAAGTGCAGTTCTTATCAAAAAAAATAATATAAGTGCAGTTAAAACCGGAAAGATTGGAAATAACTTACGAAGTAGAGTAAATAGAAATGGCAACAACTTACATGTGGTGTCCACAGCTTAAACCCTTGTTGATACCACTTATAACCTAAAGATCAGACAAAAACAAAATAACAGAGACACGTGTTTGAGTAGCTAAGCACCGTTTATAGGAGAAAACTCTACTTGACATAAGAATGAAAAACATACCAACAGGGGCTTAGACCATGTAAATAGTGAACCACATAAAGCTAATGACACACAATCCACAGGAGTTCCTGAAAGTTACATAAAGCAAAATATTACTTCAAAGTTCATCCAGGAACTCCAACGCCAACTCAAATAATTAACGTTCATCATATTAGGAACATTAACTCAACCTCTAAGAATTGCAAAAATGAAGAAGAAAACAACAGTACCAGAAACTTCGTAAGCAGTGGCTCCATTAATATCAACAGAAACCACCTCAATCGTCTCCTTTAGTGATAAAGAATGCCCGGATGTCAATTTATCCCTGTTAACACATCCCACTAAACCGTTAATCGCCCAATGAAAGTAAAAAAACAAAGGTCTCAAATACCGGATTCCCAAAAAAGACTTCAACAAAGGCCCGACATAGTATATCCTTAATCCTCTAGAATCAGAATCCCAAACTCAAAGTCAGAAATGATAAAATCGAAAAAGATGAGAAAATATTTCGAAAACAAATATCCATGTATACTATTGCACAAGAGACTAAATAAGGATTAAAAAAAAGGCTTGAAGACCAACGATTGAGGGGCGCAAACGTTGACATTGTAGAGCCCTTCGCGAACGAGAGCCTCGACCAAATACGAGAGGCCCTGGGACTCAATACCATCACTATTCGTGACCAAAATTATGGATTTTGACCCATCATCACAATCCCCGCTATTACTGGCCGAAACGGGCTTGGTTGAATCGTCCTGTTTTTCATTGGGATTAGACGATTCACCATCTCCTCCGCCACCGGTTTTTCGGCTTAACAGAACTTGTTCAAGATTGGAGACCAGCCCGGGTGGCAAGAAGTTGTTCTTCACAACTGGTGTTGTCATTTCTTGAGTGGGAGAAACGGATTAAAGTTAAAAAAATAAAAAATAAATAAAAGGAAAAGTGGGATATCAGATTGAAATGATGATGAGGATATAGACTAGTAGGTTTGCGATTCAAAGCTGTAGAGAGAGAAAGTGTAAGAGTGAGCTAAAATTTTGGACAGAGATAGCGGTTCCAACGGCGTTATAGGGAAAGGGAGGCAACACCTTTACACTGCGTCGTCTAAAATATACGCACGATATTAGCGCGTGGTTAAACAATTGTATTCATTGATTACCTAAACATCAGTGATTGTTTGATAAAGATTAAAATTCAATTAAGATTGAAAATATAGTTGTTATTGGATCTCACTCGTTTAATAAGTCTCTGTCAGGAGGCTGGAAGTGATTTTAAGTTGCAAAATAAGTGAATTTTTTACCGTTGATTTGTGCAACGGTAAAAAAAAAAATCAAACAGAGCTGTTGTATTCTGTGTCTGATGTGTCAGACCAAAACAGACAAAAAATCAATTCTTAATTTCCAAAATCATGCCCAGACAGTTCCTAAAAATCAACAATAACAGTTAATTTTTCAATTTTAATCTCTATTAAACATGCTATATATGATAATTTATTATTTAATACGTTAATTTAATAATTCTTTTTCTCAAATAATAAGCTGTCAGATAAGATATCGTAATCGCCAACAGAGAACTACTCTAAAAATAAGAATAAGAATTAAAAAAAAAAAAAAGAAGGTGTGTGATGATGAGACATAACAAGATAAGAACTTTTCAAACTCCCAAAGTCCACCATGGACCCACGTGGGTTCCACCCTATAACTCAATTCAATTAATTATAGCGAGGACACTTGGAAGTAACTCAACGTGCATGGTACGTGGTAAAAATGGAGCGTGAACAGAAGTTAATAATGATGCAAATCGCAATCTGTACCATGCACGCACGCCACGGGACAAATTTCAGTATTTCTACCCAATCTATAAATTTAATAGCAACTAGTCCTTCATTTATTCATTTACTTGCTTCAATATTTTAGCGCGGGTATGAATCCCATTTTTGGCTAAAAATACATTTTGAGCATGTTTGGTACAGATTCTCATTTTCTACAGTAAAATAATTCTCATTTTCAACCACACATTTTTCAATAAAATAATATTTTCCATCACATCAATACTTTTTTCTTCTTTTTCAAAAACACATTTCCCATCATATCACTATTTAAAAATCAATTCTTCCCCTAAAAATCCCTACCAAACACACTATTTTTAATAGTAAATTGATAAAAAAAAAATGTGTGGTTAAAAAAAAAAATGAATTTACTTGTAATATTATTCAGTTAAAGAATATGTGATTAAAATGAAGAGAGAAAAATATATTTAAAAAATAATATGGATCAAACAATTTATCGTTTTTGTAGCATAGTACTTCTCAATGGAGTAGACTAACCGTCCGTTTGAGCCCCATTTTTTTTCAAATTTTCATTCTCATTATTTACTTTTTCTGGGCCGCACAGCAAATATTTTCAACCAGTTGTGCCAGAGATTTTTGGGTGAGTGACCGTTGAAAATTGGTTAGACTAATATACCCAATTTGTCATCTATTATTTACGAAAATACCTACTATTATTATCCACACTTTCAAATTTCCTTTACAATTAAAAAAGGGTAGATTCGGGATAAAAAAATTTGTCTGCAAAATTCTAAAAAATCGTATGAAGTCATGCAAATAATCAGTCAACCCAACTGTTGAAGCAGTCCAAAAATCGAGAAAAATGAGAAAAAAAAATGGGGAAAAAATGAGGCTCAAACGGGGGCTAAAACTATCAAAGTTTGTATTGATTGTCTCAAAAATGCACTTTTAAAAAAACAAAGTTATTATCAAATAATCATCTATTTGTTATTTAATTGAATTTAAAATTAATTAGATAATATAGTAATGATTCACTTATGGAATGCTCCCTTTTGGGTGGCATGAGTCCCCAGAATCATTTTAGCCTTAAATGCTTATGATCTAAGTTGAGCCATTCGTTTTGATAACTAAAACCAGAAAAGGACAATCTTTAAAATCGGTGAGAGAAAAAGTTAGAAGAATTGATCTCCATGTACAGGCAGAACTCTACATCCTCTCACATGAGTTGAGTCCAGAACAAAAAATTTAAAAAGAATTACCCATTCCCCATGCGCGTGTGTTGTCCATGGGGGTTCTATGAACCCTCACCTGTACATATAGCTTCTCTCTAGGTAGAATTCTAACATGTTTATGGGCTCCATGTTTTTGTCTATCCGATTTTCTAGTTACAAATTATGGAGAATTACTTTTATCGAGTAACTTTTTTGAATTAATTAAGGAGTAGGGACAATTTGGAACATGTTTAATACCCTCCTCGTCCCATAAAAATATATTTACTTCTTCCACATTCATACATATAAGAAAATGTAATTAATGTCGTTGAAAATATAAATTTTACTTATATTTTTTCTAATACACCCTTATATTAAATAATAATTTAAATAGAAAGTAATTCATATTTGTTAATAACAAAAGACATTAAATAAAAACATATCTAAAAAAAATTAAGAAATCAATTATACTCTCAACTAGAAAAGTGACTTGTAATTTGAGACGAACCTTAAACGAGAGTAAGTCTCATCTTTATAAAATCTAAGGGATAGGACACATTAGATATGTTAAAACATGCATTCCTCCTTCTACCACATTACCTTGTCATGTTAGCTTCACCTTCCACTTCATTCCAAATCGAGCTCATCGCATCAGTGCAATTGAGTTAGAATTTCGTGAAGAATTAAAATCTATTTCCATTTAATTGTTTCTCCACTAAACTTTTGACACCTCAACACAGCATTTTTTTGTTGCCAAATGAGAAGACGCTAACATATTACTCTACAAACTAAAACAGAGAGCATATAGTGTGTGAAACCAAAAATGAAACTATTGAGGACACCAGGCATAATCTTCCATTTTTCTTAAACTACAGTAATTATAGTAGCCATCTTTATATCTAGTCAGTTTTATTGAGTACGCCTTGTGGACAGCTATCCCCACTAAATTTTAGAAAATTTCTTTATAATATTGATGCAGTCCTCAAGCTTGCATTGTAAATCTCATGATTCAAGTTGAAAATAAGTACAGATGACTCCTCCAAGCGACGAAAGTATCTTTTTCTAACACAAAAAAATCAATGTTGATGTTCACAATATGGAAGATGTATTGATAAATCATCCTCCTGTGACAAATCTGTTAAGAGTTCAATCTATCAAGATCACAAATAGAAACCACTCTTTAGTGGCTATGCTGACACAACTACGGAAAGTTTTGAAAATGAACAACAAAAGCAACATCTATTCAACAAACAATATATTCTAATGTTTTAGCGAAAATCAATCAAATATCTACGCTATTATTAGGCTAGTTCATACCATATCCGTGCCTGTTTAATTGGTTGCAACTGTCTCACTTCTGGTAGGGATGGAACCTACCACTTGGACCGCCACCATTCCCATATCCTTTACTGCCCCCATATCCACCAGTACCACCACCAGTGCCACCATCATAGCTTTTCCCATTGCCATATCCTCCACTACTGCCGGCATTTCCAAAGCCTCTACCTCCATCATACCCGCCAACATTGTATCCCTTACCTACACCATAACTAGCAGCTCCACCATAACCAACTGGAGCCCCATAGCCACCGCCCCCATACGCTCCACTGCCATACATTGGTCCACCGAATCCGTAACCATAGCCATATCCACCATAGCCTGAATAAAATCCTGTAGCAGCTCCACCATAATTTCCAGCAAAGTTTCCATAGCCGCCATATCCACCATAACCGCCGCCATATCCTCTACCCATCTTCCCAGAGTAACCACCTCTAAAACCTTCTGAACTATTATCATAGTTACCCACAGATTTTGAACTACTACCCCTACCGCGAAAACGACCTTCAGTTGAATGATCAAAACCAAATCTTTTTGGCTCAGCTCTTTTTATCTCAACCTGCAACATTTTACATCAAAGGCTTAGGTCACAAAATTATTCCGAAGAGAGAATGTGCAGGAAATTTGTTAACTCACTTCTTTGCCTCCAAGTTCATGCATTCGACCATCAGAAAAGATCTTTTCAACAGAATCTTCATTCTCAAAGGTCACAAAGCCAAAACCTCGGGACCGACCAGTATTGTGATCCATCATAATTTGGCGCTCCACAATGTTACCATAAGAAGAAAAATACTCCTTTAACTCATCTGCAATATAATATTGCAAATCATTTGTTCTACGAGAAAGATTTTAATTTTCTATGAAAAGTTATAAAATTAAAAGGTCACCAGCAAGAATTACCTTCATGTAATGTCAGCGGAAGACCACCAACAAATATTTTCTTTGTTTTCGAGACTCCTTTAATCTGCATGCCCTCTCTAGGGACTGTTCTCTTCACTTCTACCTGAAGAACAAGTTCAAATAAATTTCACCAATTCAAATTTTCTTCCATAATGGAGAAGAAGGAACCGTGAATAAAGGAGATAAAGAGAAACTCCTACTGCTCTGCCATCAATGACATGCTCTTCCTGCAGAACCCTATCAGCAACTTCTGGATCAGCAAAAGTTACGAATCCAAAGCCACGTGGTCTTCCAGAGATTCTATCCATCATTATCACTGAATCTGTAATTTCTCCATACTTATTGAAGTAACTGCTGAATGATTCTGAAAGGAGAAGCCGAAAGCATCACACAGAGAGTACTTTTAAAAATAAAATCCATAACTTGATACATGTGGTAGATTCTAAGCTCAATATTATAAGTGCAATGTGAAGAACATCCAGAGATATCTCAACAATCTAAGAACTCTTCAATCATCCATCAAAAAATGATTTATGCACACGTACAAAGTGAAGGTAGGGGAACACACATGTTGTGCAAGTAATTGTGGTACAACTCATCAAGCAAACCTTTCTTCTCCTTTCTACTAATGCAAATACAGAAATCGGTAATTGCCCCTTTCCTTCTAAATGGACAAAGTTTAAATCAATCCAGAAAAAGGATTTTGCAACCACACTATTCAGAAAGATCAAATTTACTGATATTTTGGTGTAGACAGGAACAAATACTAGTTTCACTTTAAGTGGCAGGCATAATTCAGATTCCATATATTCATATAATTCCCTGATCTAAGCCACAGAAATACAGTGGCAGTATAACCATTAACATTGTTATTTCCTAAATGAAAAATATGGTTCCGACTTCCAACTATAGAAAACTTGAATACTATTCCTTCTTATAACAACTGAAGGCATCTTACAGTTGTTTGAACTAAAGACAGCTTATAAACTATTGGAAGCATCTGACGAGTGATGTACATCGAGACCTTAAACACAATTCAATAAATACTGCACAAGCTTTTGACATGTAGATAGGAAGATGCAGGAAACATAACAATGATTCATTACCATCATTCACTTTGATACCAGTCATAGATGTATTTCTATTAATTTATTTAGCATGTGTACATAATTCCTAGTAATACAATAGATCCATCTCCTTATTCAAAGTTCGCTGGAAGATAATAAATTTGAAGTCCCAATATTCAATGAACACTCTCATATCAATCATCCCTGTCGAGAAAGACTAGCCAGCAAATATTATCCTGTTGTCTTCGCAAAAGTAAAGAGAAAGGTCCAAAATATTGCAAGTGTTTGAGACACTATAACCGGAGGTAGATCAAATTTGTATGTATTTTTCCCTTGACGAAACTGTGACAATGAACCCAAACTAAACCACACTGTTTAATAAATAATCTATCATGATGTAATGCTCAAAAAGAGGCTCTTCTCCTTTCGTTGGAGAAGAGCTGACCTCTAGCTCTTTTGGATATTTTTTAAAATATGTCAACAAATTGCTCTTGGAGCTCCTTGTGCTCCTTTGAACTCGTCTGTAGCCTGATTTGTATAAAAAAGATTCTTCAGATGTAAGTAAATGTAATGTCAAATATGTTATTGGGATAGCCTTGATGAATCTCTATGAGTACTAGGTACAAAATCTTGTATGAGATGTTGGACATGTCTCCTCAATTGAGTCAATTCTTCAATCTCTCAGTGAGAAAATCACTTTCACGTGTATTCATCAGCATTTTGAACACAAAGACAACGACAACCAGCCATGATTACCAAAGATCTCATACCAAGTGTATATCAGGTTCAAAAAAGAAACTACCTTAAAGACTAAATAGCTTGACACCCAAGTAGAAATACAAAAGGAATACAGTGTTAAGAAAACTCATCACTCAATGGAATCCACAAAAGAGATAAGTAGTTTTCTAAGAGAATGACAACACCTTTCAAATAAACATACTTTTTTTTTTGATAGGTGAAATAAACATAGACTTTAAATTCAAACTTTTAATAGCTGTCTTCCAAAATACAATTTAAGACCCATAAGAGCCCGCTATGTAATGTGCATAAATGCATTCTACTAATACATTCTAACATTAGCATGTATGTGTACATATACATGAATCTTATTAATATATTAGATCCATCTCATTATTCACGAGAAGATAATTAATGTTGAGTATCTATGTCAACGGTAATGACGACCACCCATGATGACCAAAGATCTCATACCGAGTGTATATCAGGTTTGAAAATGAAACTAAGGTAATGATTAAATAGCTTGCCACCCAAGTAGAGTACCCAAGGAACACAGAGAAAAACTCTTATCACTCAATGGGATCCACAAAAGAGATACATAATTTTCTAAGAGAATGACAAGATCGTTCAAATAAACATAATTAATATTCGAAATTTTAATATGTTTTCCAAAATACAATTTAAGACCCGTATTTATACTCGTAGTAAGAGCACGATATTTAATGTGCATAAATGTATTCTACTAATAATTTGTAACATTAGTATGTATGCGTACACGAATCTTTAAAATATATTATATCCATCTTGTTATTTAAAGTTAATGAGAAGATAATAATGGTCAGTATCAATGTCAAAGAACCCTTTACTAGATTACAAGCACATTATTGTGCATGTTTCTTGTAGGATGAGTAACTGAGATGAATCTATTACCCCTGGAGGAATCAAATTAGGGATAGGGATGATGGGCATTGGTCCTACTTGCTTGGCAAGACATCATATCTATTACATTAGTAACTCAGAACATCTACTCAGCCCCTACATAAAACAATTACGTAAGAGTGTTGACCTCGGGGAAAAAATTAATTAGAATGTCCAACGCACCTATACTAAAAAACAACACACTTGCAGATTCTAAAACTGATTTTTGTGACCGCTAATTCATGTTTCTCTTTCACCATCCTCTAAAATAAGCATCTTATGTGAAACACTTTACATACAGTTAATATTTTGTATTGTAGTACATTCTGATTAATTATTATTTCATCTTAAACCCTTAATAAGCAAATGATCTATTTTTTTCCAAGTTAAAATAGTGAGTAGCTTTCATCCTTTCACAACCAAGATAGAATATTTTCTCAGGACATATAGCTGAATAAAGTGCACAATTAAATACTTGATGTTTTAAAGTTTCTCTCAAGCAACTTGTAAAGTAAGAAGGCTGATTCCAAATAACGGCACTAATCAACATCAAATAATTGTTACCAGCGTTTCTGTGCATATGGTTAATATTTTATATTGTAATACATTCTGATTAACTATTTTTCCATCTCGAACCCTTCATAAGTGATTTTTTATTCAGTAGCTTTCATCCTTTCACAATCAAGATAGAATATTATCTCAGGAAATGACCAGTCAATCATATTGTGCAAATCTAATTTAATCCCTTCAGAAAACTCTGATGTCTCAACTCTCCAGAAAATAGAGCCCTTGTCTTTCCTACACTTCAAAATTTAGTCCAAAGAAAGAGAATTTGAACACAGTCAGAAAGATGCAGCTTTAGATTAAAGGTAGAACCTAAACTCACGAATTAGTCCTAGTGTCATGATAAGATAACCTGGATAAACTCAAAACAACTAGAAATACCATGAAAGCTCCAAGCAGTAGGAAAAAATTCCATGCACTTGTAAATTAAATTCTAGTTGACTAAGAATGGATTCATCAGTTCATGACAAAAAGCTACTCTCCTAACACTGGAGCATGTAATTTTAATACGGACAGAGGGTCAAACCTCGGAGTTCTAAAAGGACGGGACAAAAACTTCAAGTGGCAGAATACCACAGCATGACCACCGAAATAAATAGAACTATAATCATGTGTAACCTCTTCTCAAAGTTACTTTAGCCCGTGTTTGGTGGCCTTTAATTTGAAAAAAAATAAACTAAGATTTGAATAGTATTTTTTTGTGGAGAATGTGTTATTAAAAAATAGGAAAAAGTTTTGGATTTACGTTCAAAATATTTTATTGTGTGGATGTGTGGTTGAAAATGAGTATGAGAAATAAATTAAATTAAAACCAAACAGGGGCTCAGTATTATTGTCTACACAACTTGAAAATCACAAAAAACCAGCAATCAACTAGCTTAAACCAATGGATCAAAAATGGAAGGAAAATAAAACGCAATCTGCAGACCAATTTCCCAACATTTTTGCTCTTTATTAGTTTTAGATCCAGAAAATGAAAATGGAAAAAAATTGATAAGCCAAAATAGAAGAAAATCAATCAAATTGAAGTTGGAAAGTTGTGGTTACAATAAACACTAGGATGACGATATTTTTCATCTCAATTTCAATCAGTGCAAGTTAAGAAAAACTATTGCTATCTAAATAATTCATACCGTATTTAACAGCATTTCCATAAAGTAACATATTATGTGTGTAATCATAGAACGATCTAGTGATTTCTCTCTTAATAAAGCATCTAAAATGCAAAGAAACATTCCAGAACAAGGCTTACAAAGAACAAGAACCTCAAAATCAATTACTTTGCAAGAATATAGAATGATATACACTAAAATCAATATGTTGAATAAAAGAAAGATAGAATCCCGTACATTCTCTCAACCATAACAATATTCCTACAAGATCGAAAGAAGGAAGGATGCATATTGTACCTTCCGAAGTCTCCCACGCAATGCCTCCAACAAAAAGTTTTCTATCACAAGAAGAGAAAAAAAAAATCAACAGTTACTGCCATTTTCACAGCAATCGTATTTCTTGGGGATCAAACCCAACCCTCTCACTCCTCATAATACAAACTAAACTAAGCAAAACATTTCAATCTAATATATAAGCCCTTACGGACCTAGGACACAAACTACACAACTAACCCTGCTGATAACGAAGAATCATGCTTTAAGTCATGACGAGTTGCACTATCAACTACATTATCATTTGACCCATAGTTTCTCTCGTAAGGTTGTTCCTCTTCTTGTTCGTATTGGTCCTCATACTGTCGGTGCCCTTCGAGGTCCCCATAAACGGCAACGTTTTGTTCAGCTACAACATCATAATCCATTTGTTCTATTCTACCTATCAAACCTGCAAATAAATAATGATCATATTTCTACTCGCCTCATTTATTTTACCATTTCGGAGGCTGACAATTTTTTTGAAGCCTAAAAATAAGGAAACCCTAACAATCAACTGAACCTGATTATTGATTATAACGGCCTGCTAGCTAGCTATGAATTTCTACAAGTACGAGAGCGAGTTGAGTTGAGTTGAGTTGAGTTGAGCGAGTTACAATGAGAGGAGGATTGCTGAAGAAACCCTAGCTTTTTGTCTGTGTGTAGAGAATAATCAAATTTTTTATGTGATTCTAAAATGGTTGTGGAGTGATATTTTAAAGGTATTTGCATATTAAGACAGAAGTTGGGCCTGGTCCTGGTCCTGGGCCTGGGCCTGGGCCTGACAAATGGGTCAGCTTTGAATGTTTCCATTTTTATGTAGCATTATTCTTGTTGAATAGGTGGGCAGGCACCCAGTCTATGGGGGGCGTCCTCCTTCTGTTTGAATAGGACATACGTGGCTCTATTCATGTAGGCTGTAGCAAGGCTCTTTACTGTGTTACTTTTCATTAAAAATTAACATCTTACACCGGTGACATATCGTGTTACTCTTGGTGAAAATAAAAAATTTAAACGGGTCCCATATTATATTATTTTTCTCTTGGTTAGTTTTTGACTTGAGTTGATTAGTCTGGTCCGATTTTGAT